TACGCCTCCTAAAAATGATGACACGATTTTCCTTTGATAAAAGACCGACAATTTTTTGCTCTACTTTGCATCGAATACGATCGTACTATAGTTCATACCACAAGTATACACCATAAGAACTAATTTTTGCGAAAAAAGCAAATCTCGACAATTCTCTATCAGGTTTTGACATCAAACCATGTTATAATATAAATGCATATGATCAAGAAGTTAGATGTAGGTTACAACTCGCTCATAAAAGGGTAAGAGATGATCTTGAGAAAGCGAAAGTGGAGCGAAAGTCTCGATATGACAATAAAACATCAGAAATTGATCTAAAAATAGGAGACTATGTTATTATTATTAATGAAGCGCGGTCAAATGCGATTCTTGGTATAAGGGTCCATTTCCAATTATAAATGCAGACGGTCCTTATTACGTCCTAAACAATAAAGGTGAACAATTAGTGGTACATAAAAATCGTCCACAAAAATATACTCCACCAAAGAAGGGTGAGGGGGTTGGTCCGTTTAGGGTGGAAACGATTCAGTATTGCTAGTAGTACTAAAAAAAAAACTTTCAGACTTTTTCAGCCAAAAACCGGCCTATTGAGAAGGTTTTAATAGTATTACTCTGAAAATTGGTAGTATTGGGTTTTTTGGTGTGAGAATTACGAATTTGAAGCTTATTTTGACATTGCTCCTAGAGGACGCTAGTTTCGCCGTATTATTAAGGTAAATCAAAACATATTTTTTTATCTGTTGAGGTATGCTTAAGAAAAGTTAAAAATCTAAAAGAACATTCAATTTTATATGTATTTGTGTAGGTCGCCTAACTTTATAGGTCACTAAGTTATTTGCATTTAAAAGTTTAAATGTATGCATTTTGTGGTGATTTTTTATTCTCAATTATTGATAATAGTAATAATAACAAACCTTAAATCAAATGCTGGAAGTGTCCACCACCTATCTCAATACATTTTACTATACACTCTCTTAAATGTTTCTGAATATGAAACAAAATGTCCCTACTATTTTTAAATGCATTCACGTCTACTTGTATTTCACCATATCCTTGAAGTTTGACCATATTGAAAAGTCCAGTGGGTTTAAGTCTGGACTTCTCGGTGGCCAACAAAATTCACTCCCACGGCCAATCCGACGATGAAGAAAATGTTCATTTAAATACTGACGTACTGGCAAGGCAAAATGTCTCTTAAAGCGAGTGGTACATTATCTTGAAGTACGTTTAAATTATGTTGAAGCAAGTTTAAATAATGAGGTCCAGTTAGATTATGTGATAATTCAAAAGGTCCTATGAAAAAAACAGAAATTAAACCATACCAAATATTCACCTTAAACTCATGCTGAAAATGTTTTTCTTTTACATGCATGCGGATTTTCGGAATCCCATAAATGATTGTTCTTCCAATTGAAAACTCCCCGTGAGGAAATCTGGGTTTTTCCAGTTGCATATTTTGTACAAACTGAAAAAATTGTAGGCGAGCTGGTAAATCTTGAGGCAATAACTGCTGAACCAGAGTATAATGATATGGATGGAGCATTTCTTTTTTCAAAATTCTACAAATAGACAATTGGCTTACCCCCATTGCCGCACTTAACCGACGAGTACTCATACCGGAATTTTCCGAAACACAAATTAAAATTTCCTCTTCTTCATCGACTGTGATAGATTTTGGAGTACTATGGTTACTTTTTGGTCGAAAAAATCCAGAGTCGCTGAAGCAGTTGTAAAGATTTCTGAATAGTTTATAATTAGGTTACAATCTATTTGGGTACATGTGTTCATTTCTTTGGGCCGCCACATGTCCATTAAAATTAGCCTGGACAAAAACACAAATCATATCACACATCTCACTGTTTGAAAAATTATTATGTCGTGGCATTTTTTGATCACTAGCTAATAAGTATGCACAAATAATAAATCACACTCACGCAAAATACGCTAATATTTATTGACATGAAAATATGACACAAGCCTACTTAGAAAAGAAATAGCAATATCAACGCCTGAAAGAAAATCACCACAAAATACATTGAAACTTTTAAATGCACATAACTCAGAAACCGATAAAGTTAGGCGACCTAAACAAGAGTATAATTTTTATGTAGTATTGAACGTTCTTTTAGATTTTTTTTTAAGCATAGCTCATCAGATAAAAAAATATGTTTTGAGTTACCTAAATAATAGGGTGAAATAAGCGCCCTCTAGGAGCAACGTCAAAATAAGCTTTAAATTCATAATTCTCATACCAAAAAACCCAACACTACCAAATTTCAGAGTCATGCTATCAAAACTTTCTCAATCATTGAGAAATTTCAGAATAAAATATAAACTTTGAACACCCCGTATTCCGTAAACCAGCGACATTCGTATAAGGCATGATAATCTCAAATATAATATTTTAGTGTCTAGTATTTCCAGCTTAGTGTTGACCCATTCTTTCTGATTCACCCCGTATACAGTGTGTCCCGTTTTTCAGGTTAACACCTCTGGAAATGTGAGAAGGCTGTGGACTTTCTGCAAGCCAATTTTTTTACAAATAGTACCCTGGAAGGAGGTTATATTCTACTAATCGTTTTATTGATGTGACAAAAGCCTGGCCAACTACGATTTTTAAAAGGGTCGTTTTTCCAGAAAGTAGTATTAGGCATTTTTTTATTAAAAAGATCATATTAACAGGCTATTCTGCATCATCCTTATGAATTGTCGATAGAATGTTGAAGGGTTTGCTTTTGTTTATGTTATAGAAATATTTCGAGTACCAAATTATTATCTTTTCAAGGTTAAATTTTAACCTGTGTGTGAAAGTCCGTCATTACCTAACTTTTGTAAATTCTTCCTTATATGGTCATGTTTGGTAAAAAGTTAACTGACAGGGTAGAGAAATGCACTGGGAAACGCCCCTGTGAACGTAACAAAATTGAATGCCCGGAAAGCAACTGTATCATTCAATCGATGAAACAATCATAGCCGTGTGGCTTTTATTATTAGTATTGTTATTGTTTTGATAGAAAAGTAGTGAGCAGGTTGCTAGGGCTGACAGTGGTGGACCATTAGTTCCTATTTTATAACTTATATCACAGCTCCCATACTTTAGTGTTCGAACTTGTAATAAATAGTGTTATGTCACCCGTTTATTATTTCAATGGAGACAATGGTGCAAACTAATCTCCATGTCCACCCAATGTCTCCGACATATACAGGCTGTTACAAATTCGCTTCTCACTACAGGGATCTCGGAAACGGTAAGAGGTACAAAGTAGCTTAAATGGGGGCAAAGTTACGTAATCAGGAGACCAACATTATCCTTCTAAAAAATCAAGGCTAATATGATTAGTTTTCGAAATATTTGAAAAAAATCGAAATTTAGCCTTGTTTGAGGTGATATTGAAAAAAGAAGAACACTTTCTCACGGCCATTTTTTGCCCTCTATCGAATGGCATAATCAATTTTTATATGTAACGTTTCATCTCTCCAGGTCCATCATCAACTTCATTTTTTTAAATATGACCCTAGAAATTTTATTACATTTTTTGCAAGCCTTCATTACCTTCAATACTGTACTGCCTCAGCCCGAACCAGATCAGACGTTTTGTCTCGAAAAATTCATCTTCAGTGTATTTGTTCCAAATTTATCTAAATTTTTTATTTAGATATTTTTGTTTATTGAATTATCGTACACTGTAAGTGTCGTTAGACCCTGTGAAATCCATCTAGTTATTTAAACTATTGCCACACACGTTATAATAAAATATTTATTATTATTAACTATTACCATCGCTTGGTCATACATAACGCAATAAGTTGTTGCCTCAAAATTAAAACATTATTACGATTTTAATTTTCTTATGATAAATTAATTCTTAAAAATGCATATGAACAATCAAAACGATCACTAAATATTATTCTTTAAAAAAATTCAGTAAATGTTCAAAAACATTTTCGTTTTGGCTGAAAATGAAGATCAGCGTAATATTATCGGAATTTATTATATCTGTAACATCAACTGTGAAAGAGCATATCAGATATATTTGTATGAATATCCTGAAAAAATTAGATCGAAATTTGTTTGAATTTTGAGCACTCGAGAAGCCTAGAAATAACTATGGACACGGGAATAATAATGTTTTATTTTAATGCATTGTGATACTAGTTTAAATTACTAGATAGATTTCACAGGATCTAACGACACTTGTAGTGTAGATAATTCAATAAATAAAGAAATCTAAATAAAAAATTTAGATAAATTTGGAACGAATACACTGAAGATGATTTTTTCAAGACAAAACGTCTGAATCTGGTTCGGGCTGAAGCAGCACAGTATTGGGGGTCATGAAGGCTTGCAAAAAATGTAATAAAATTTCCAGGGTCGTATTTAAAAAAATGAAGTTGATGAAGGTCCTGGAGAGACGAAACGTTACATATAAAAATTGATTATGCCATTCGATAGAGGGCAAAAAGTGGCCATGAGAAAATGTTCTTCTTTTTTCAATATCACCTCAAACAAGGCTGAAATGAAACAAAAACGGATTTCCAAAATTTCGGTTTTCCTCAAATACTTCGAAAACTAATCACGTTAGCCATGATTTTTTAGAGGCATAATGTTGGTCCCTGATTACTCAACTTTGCCCCATTTAAGCTAGTTTGTTTCTCTTACCGTTTCCGAGATCCCTGTACTGAGAAGCGATTGGGACATCATATTAGAGCAGGCCTAGGCGCCATCACAATCAAATACACCTCTGGGTCTATGATTAACTAATGTTCATCAAATGACAATAGGTACACAATACAAGGAATTATTACATTATAAATGTGTGTAAGCAAGAGGACTTTTTGAGAGCCTTCTTTAAAGTCGTTTCATTAATGTTACTATCGTCCATTTTATCTTTACAAAGTTACAAAAGAAAATGTGGATTTTCAGATGTACCTATATTTTTTTTACCAAAAATAAACAGCTTTTATATTATATTAAATATTATACCTACATACTAACATACCTGAGAGGCAGAAAAAGCTTCTAATAGAAGCCCTTGAATAAATTCTTGTAACTGACTAAAGTGAACGAAGTTTTTACATATTGTTAAAAACTCTACAAACCATCTGTCAGGAACAATCTACAAAACCAAAGATGAAGTTATACTGAAAAAATGTTAAATTATTATATTACCCCTGTGACTTCACACGCATTATTGACACTAATTGTTACATTTTGCCCCTTAAGCTTTGCACAACTCTGTAAACAGGTGATAGCTCTCCTCATATCACCTCCACTAGCTTCTACTAAACAATTTAAAGTAGAATCATCACACTCAATTTCTTCTTCTTTACAGATGAATGCCAACCTATAAATTAATATTTTGAAGGCTTTGAAATAACTTAGTTCTTTTTTTTTTGTTTTTCTTACCTTTCATAGATCATAGATTCGTTCAATGATTTAAATCTAAATTTGGTACATCTAGATGTTAATGGTTCAATAATCCTTGACACATAATTACATATTAAACAAAACCGAGTAGATTTTGTCTCTTTCTCCATTGTCCTTCGAAGTGCAGCTTGAGCAGGATGTGTCATAGAATCTGCTTCATCTAATATAACAATTTTATATGGTGGACATTTATTTCCACTAAAAATTATGATATTGTTAAACAGGTAAACCGACAACAGGAACAATTTATTACTCTGGTCTTGTTCCACTTGCTGTCAACTGAGCAAAATTTTTTACTTTGTCTCTAATAATTTGAATTCCTCTTTCATCAGAGGCATTCAGTTCAAGAATTCTTTCTTTGTATATATTTCCAAACAATTGCCTGGCTGCCGCCAAAATTGTACTGGTTTTACCTGTTCCAGGTGGTCCATAAAATAGTAAATTTGGTAAGTCTGCACCACTAATACATTGTTCCAAAACAGAGATGACCTCGTTTTGTTCGACAATATCTGAGACAGTTCTAGGTCGACTAAAAATGACATTAAGATAAAATATATATTTTATACAGTATATGGTGTTAGTAAATAAGTGCGACAAATTTCAGGGGGTGATTCTATATGAGAAAATAATGGCAGTTCGCTTACAAACGTATGTCCGCAAATGATTCGTTTTCCGTGATACGGAGTGTCAAAGTTTTCCTTAAAAACTGACGATTTAATTTATTGCTCTGAAACCGGTCGAGATATGCAAATGAAATTTGGTGGGTTTTAAGAGGTAGTTATTGCGCATTTTTGACACGCAATTAAGAATTTTATGTTCATCATTGGCGCGCGTACGGGTAATAATCTCAAATTTTTTAAAGAAAAAAATGATACGCCACTGAGATATTACAAATTAAAAATCATTTTTGAATTCTTTGTTCAATTTGTGACAAAAAATAAAACATAACGCGTATTTTTTTATTTCTTTAATACATTACCTAGTAGGCTACTGTCAACATTTGTCTGTTAAATACATTTGTCTGTTTTTAAGAGATGTCAAATTAGCGTTTCGTCATTATTAATTTATTAAGCTTTTAGTTTGCCATAACATTAGTGTTAATAAGTAATTAATTTTTCTTTTATCGAAAAGAATGGAAAATTTTACAAATGCGGAATTGTCAGACATGCATTTTGTCTATGGTCGAAGTAATGGAAATGGTCGGCAAGCTCGACGATTGTATGCTGAGTTGTATCCAAGACGTAGGGTACCTCATCACATAATATTTGCTCGTCTTCATCGTTTGCGCGAAAATGGTTCATTTAAGAAACAAACGGTTGACTGTGGACGCCCTCGAGAAGTACAAACTGTGCAACTAGAAGAAGCAGTTCTCGAGTTAATTGCGGAGTCACCTGAAACAAGTACTTGAAACATTGCCAACATATTGAATGTAAGCAACTTCACTGTATTTAAAATTCTTAAAGAACAGCAACTGTATCCGTTTCATACTGAACGTGTGCAAGCTCTACTACCTAGAGACTTTTTTCCGCGCCTATTTTTTTGCCAATAGATTAATCATCAAATTGCTCAAATTCCTAATTTTTTAAATGCCGTTTTGTTTACTGACGAGGCTACTTTTGGACGATAGTGTATACGAAATTTCCATAACAGTCACTTATGGGCTGAGGAAAACCCCCATGGAATCTTTGAAGCTCATTTTCAGCATCAGTTTTCCGTAAATGTATGGCTCGATTGATGATCATTTAATCGGTCCATATTTCCTCCCACAACGACTAACAGGCGAGTTTTATCTTAATTTCCTACAGGAAGAGTTACCTGTTCTTCTTGAAGAAATTCCTCTTCAGCTGAGACAACACCTATGGTGCATGCATGATAGTGCACCAGCCCATTTTAGCATTAATGTACGTAATCACTTAGACACAGTATATCCAAATCGTTGGATATGTAGGGGAGGTACGGAACATTGGTCTGCTCGATTGCCGGATTTAAATAATATTGATTTTTGCATTTGGGGTTTCCTTAAGTCATTAGTTTATTCCACTCCCGTTGAAAATGTTGATGACCTGAGGAATCGAATTATAGTCGGCTGTGAGACAATAAGAAATATACCAGGAATATTTGCGCGAATACGACAATCAATGAGGCGAAGAGTTGAATCTTGTGTCACGTCTGAGGGAGGTCATTTTGAACATTTGTTGTAGCTTTGCGCCTTTTCAAAATTTTATTAGTGTTATTTTCTGTTATTGTTCTGGTTTAATGTTATTGTATTAGATAGTTCTTGATAATGTATTAAAGAAATAAAAAATACGCGTTAAGATGTTTTATTTTTTTGCATCAAAACGGCGCCCCATACGAAGAAAAGGCAAGAGAGATTTTTTGTCACAAATTGAACGAGGAATTCAAAAATGATTTTTAATTTGTAATATCTCAGTGGCGTACCATTTTTTTCTTTAAAAAAATTGAGATTATTACCCGTACGCGCGCCAATGATGAACATAAAATTCTTAATTGCGTGTCAAAAAATGCGCAATAACTACCTGTTAAAACCCACCAAATTTCATTGGCACATCTCGACCGGTTAGAGAGCAATAAATTAAATCGTCAGTTTTTAAGAAAAACTTTGACACCCCGTATCTCGGAAAACGAATCATTTGCGGACATACGTTTATAAGCAAACTGCCATTATTTTCTCATGTAGAATCACCCCCTGAAATTTGTCGCACTTATTTACTAACATCCTGTATATATTATATATTTGTTTTATCTGTATCATAGATATCAAAGAAACGTATATGTTTTGTGAATTGTAACTTTATTTATCTCAGGATATAATTGCTATGAATGTAGTCCCATGAAACAACATTTAAGGACTTATATTCCCAATACCCTGCATTTTTCTCTAGGACAATGCATTTTAGCAACATGCACCAAGTATACCATTTTTACGAAAAATAAAATGACAATTCAAAAAATAACTGTATTTTCTCAAAACCTCTATCAACCATAATCTGTAGCAAAAACAAGGAAACTATATAAATATTTTTTGGAAACTTTATGTTTTACATAAAAAATAAACTTATGTTTATTTTCATAGTACATGGACAAATAGATTCAATGAAATATATAATTTTCTCTCTAAAATTACTGGGAAAATAAGTACTGGAAAAATAATTAACACATACATATTTCAAAATTTAAGAAATATTTGCAGCTCTCTATCAAAAAGTTTTGAAATAAGCCTACTTTGGGAAAAGTCACTAATTTTATACACCGTAATATTGTAAGAGTTTAATTGAAAGCCTTTTTTCTCGAAAACCATCCACATTAGGAAGTTCTAACAAGAGTACATTATTTTTAGAAAATAAAATTGTACATTAGAAATTGGAAACCAAATGGTAAAAAACCTAACCTTAAAAAACTTAGAACTTAAAATGTAATAGGAATGTAGCACAACTAGCGCCCTATATGAAATTTGATAAAAATATTTCGCACCGTTTGGAAATTTTTTTAAAAATTCTATTTAAAAAGTTTTATTTTCTCGTTCTGTATCTCGAAAACAAGAGAAGATAGACGTATAGTTCATACGACAAAAATTTCTTATTTTTTATCGTACTATCACCCCCTGTACTTACGGGAGGTCTTTCTGAAACACCCTGTGTATATACACTATACAGGCTGTCTTATAAAAAACGCCCCAAGCTGTAACTCTGTTAATAATTGTTCTACTTAAAAAAACAAAAGACTGTTGTTAATAATACTGATTTTAATTTTTTTTGCCATCATTAGAACGTTAGGCGATTTTCAATAGTTTTTTCTTAAATGTCAAGTTATTATTTCATTCAATGTCAATTATGTATTTAACAAGAACGATTTTTATAAGATTTTTTATTGTTACATTTTTGTTGTTGATCTGGTATCTATTTGTTTTGCTTTGTTGTTGTTACTTTAGGCATAGCATTTCTCTAATAAATTTTGTAAAAAAATATTTCTTCCATAAAATATTTAACAAATATCAAGTTGTAATATATCGTTGACTGCAGAAAAAAAACTCTTATCAAACAGGCCAAAAAAAATAATAACTTGACATTTAAGAAAAAACAATTGAAAATCGCCTAAGTTTCAGATGACCAAAAAAAATTAAAATCAGTGCACGACTGTAGTATTTGTCAAGCCATTAACAATACTCTTCTGTTTTTTTAAATAGAACAATTATTAACAGAGTTACAGCTCGGGGCGTTTTTTATAAGACAACCTGTATATACAGGATGTCCGGGAAAATCTCTCGGGTGCAGATAGAACTTGAAAAAAATTTTGTATTTTTTCAGATTAAACATCTTAAAATTAAACTTTCCTGTTGTTCGAATGACTTTCATATCACACTTTGTTGTCGACAAAAAAAAAATAGAAATCATGGCCTTTTTTATTAAAAATAAAACATGAATTAAAGTCTTTATCATACAGGGTGTTAAAAATGTAGACATTAAGTTGTAAAGCTTAGCCCGCCCCTGGTAAACTAAAAAAGCTAAATATGTTTCAAGGACACTATTTTAAGAGGTCCTTACTATTGTCCATCACATAAAATTTTTATTAAATTACATTAAGTACTTTAAAAGTTATTCAAGAAAAACCAATTTCCAGCGGCATCCTTCAGGAACACATCATATCTCCGTAGAGAAGGCCTGTATGAAAAAATTTTGTAGAAACTTGTCATCTTATTTTTTCATGTTCTATCTGCACCCGAGAGATTTCCCACATTTTCCCGGACAGGCTGTCTACTATAAGAGGTCCACTCCTATTATTTCGCTGAATACACGATGCACGTCAAAATTTTTTATATGTTTTTTGTTGTATTTTTTGAGGCCTTGATGCTTGTGAAAACAAATTTGAGATTCATAACCAACTATAACATATGGGTAACCATATAAAAATTGGAAAAGTACCGAAAGTTTAGGGTCGTCTAAATTTTTTATTTTAAGAGATAGAGAAAACTTATTTTAATAAAATTTCACGGCAAAGTTGATATCTTTCACCTGGTTCACAAATTTTTGAAGTATCGCATGCAATTTGTTGCGTCTTCTACTCGGTCAAAAAAAATTGTCATCAAAGCAGGCTGTGAATACAAAAAATTGCTTGTTTTTTCCTCTTTCTTGCAATGTTCTACATGTCGCCTTTATCTTTTATATTTATTACATTTTTCATAATTTTGGTATCAAAAATGTAGATTAATGTAGAAATTGTTTTAAACATGCCAACTACAAAAAAATTTAATGAATATAATATACTTCTTTTAAGCAAATAATCTATATTATCTGGTACCTACCCATCCGTTTACCATCATAGAGTAAGGTCCTATGATTTTGGTATCAAGAATTCTAACCCAAACGTTTACTGAAAACCTCTGTTGAAATTGTAGTACCTCCGTGTCAATGTAAATTACCATTAGTCCATTAGAAGTAAATGTTTCTATTAAAAATTCCATTGTTACAAAAATTTGACACATTTGACCACAGAATTCTTCTGCATAACATATATATATATTGTATATATTATATATTTGTTTTATCTGTANTATATATATATATATATATCTTGTCACCACCTACAGAACTCGATTTATCTTCCTCCCTCAAGAGATGCACTTTTTTCACCTTATAACATTTGAAACTATTTTTTCGTAATATCCTTCTTGCACTACCCTTCCCTACATTGTAGTTTATTTCACTCTCCCACTATTTTGCTAATTTTTCCTATTTACATAATTAGAAATTAACATTACCTATTTTATTAACAACAGCTGATCCATATCCAGCTGTTCCTTAAGAGATCCATATCAGCGAAGGTTTTCTATATTCCGCAAGTGCTTGAATATAATTGGAATTGCATTGATAGTATAATACAAACATATTATACTTCTCAATATGTAAAAATGTATGTTAACAATTTTCAAACCAACAGTTATGTATAAACTATGTATAACAATAAACAATTTGTTAAATTATGACATTACTGGGATAGCGTGCTACATTTAGAGTAAGCTGCTTTGTCTGTGCAAGAACAAAGTTGAAGGCTCAGTTTTATTTAAAGTAAAAAACAATATTATAATAGTGTGAAAAGAAAATTTGTATTTTGCTTAAAAGAAGTACATTATATTTATAGTTGACATGTCTATAACAATTTCTACATTAACACAAAAATGTTTACATTTTTTATAACAAAATTGTAAAAAATATAATAAATATAAAAGATAAAGACAACATGTAGTAGATCGCATGAAAGAGGAAAAAACAAGCAATTTTTTGTTCGATGACAATTTTTTTTTGCTCGCGTAGAGGGTTCAGCAAATTATATACAATACTTTAAAAATCTGTTTACACTAGGTGAAAGGTATCAATTTTGCCATGAAATTTTATTAAAATAAGTTTTCTCTATCTCTTAAAATAAAAAAGTTTAGACGACCCTAAACTTACGGTACTTTTCCGTTTTTTTTATGATTACTCACAAAGTTGACCATGGATATCTTGTTTCTACGAGCATAAAGGTCCCAAAAAATGCAACAAACATATAAAGATTTTTGACGTGTGTCGCATATTAAGCGAGATCCATAGGAGTGACCCTCTTATAGTAGACAGCCTGTATATATATATATATATATAAGAAGTAGGTATGTTAGATAAGGTCATACTAAAACTGAACTGAAAATTCGAAAATATAAAAATATATGAGGTCTGTTCAGAAAATACGGTTATTTTCTGAACAGACAGAATAATTTTTTTAAACTAATTATTTAATATTAATTTGATACATTATTAGTCCATATCTCTTCCAAAGTACTCCCCTCCCCTTTTCATACTTTTCCCAACAACGTTTCCCAGCTTTCTTGGGGCGTGGAGATCCTTCGTCAATCCATTGTGATGATTGAACTTTTGTTTCAATGTCGTAAACCCAGCTTTTGTCTCCCTTTATGATCCTTTGAATGAATGTTTCATCGTCATTAGATTGTTCAATGAATTGCCGACAAACCTCCACACAATTTTTGCTGCAACTCGATGCATGTTCATTTTTCACTCAAAATTTCATGGCATGACCCATTTACGAAGCTAACCTCTTCTGTAATTTGTGTGACAGTCAATCGGCGATTTGCTCGCACCATATCTTTGACTTTCTGAACGTAGGAGTATCCAGTTGAAGTTGAAGGCCTTCCTGGTCGAGGATCATCTTTAATTGACTGACGACCACTTTTAAATAGTGAAAACTATGCAAAGCATTGTGTACGACCCAGAGCATCATCTCCGTAAGTTGAAACGTTTCTGTGGAAGTTTTTCCCAAATTTTACGCGGCATCGTTGTTCTAGAACAAGGGTCGGCAACTGGCGGACCGCGGAAGGTAAAATACTGGACCGCCAAAAATTTTTTGAAAGAATAAATTACTCAAATAAATTATTTAAATTTTTTTTTTTAAGTTTAAGTGCCAATCTTATCATTTTTTCTAGTATTTTACAATTGTGTGTGTTTTGAGTTCTTAATGGTTAGTAAGCAGATTAAATTTGAGTCCAAATTAAAATAAAAAATAAGAAATATGATTTTTTTNCAGTAGATAGGCTACCTTCATTCTGAGCCAAAATCCCATGTATTTTCTTATGGAGGTTCATTTTGCAAATTTTTGACCAATTTTACCCCCTCCACTCCTCCTTTTGGCCCCGCCCCCTCGTTTAGATCGACCAATCAGATTGCAGTATTCCGAACCAATCAGATTAAGGCGCGAAATTCAAAATCAGGCCGCCTCCTGTCCAAGCTCCGGCCGCCTCCTCGCCCGGGAAACTTAGTCAGTGGATGACGTCATTGTTGGCGAAGAGTTAATAATTTAAAAAAAAACCTATGCCGGCTGTGAGAATCGAGCCCCGGTCCTTCGGATTGCGAGGCAAGCACACAACCCACTAGACCACAACGCTCATCTGTTGGAGTTGCGATATATTTGGTAGGTATGCAGGAGACGCGGAAGCGTTCGATGGGCGGGGATGGGGAAGCGGGCGGTCGGTGGAGGCCTGCGATGCTGGAAGTCGGCTGCGGTCAGCGGGGTGCCGGCGTACGAGGGGGGAGCGGGGTGCCGGCGTACGAGGGGGAAGCAGGCGGCCGGTGCCGATCAGCGATGCAAGCAGCGGGCTGCGGGGGGCGGCGACGGCGACGGCCTCTTGATATCAATCTTTTTGTTATAAGGTAGAAAATTTAAGAAACGAGCGCTATGTGAGAGTGACGTAATCGTCTGGGAATTTTTTGTTGCACAGCTCATATCAGATAAGAAGATAAAATAAACAATGCTATAAGGGGCGTTCTAAAAACGGCTGAAGTTTTAGCATTTGAAAACGTAACAATTAATATGAATTTTATTTTAAAAGTAAAAACAATCTGATGGCTTAATATTTTGAATTATTTTTTAAATAGTAGTTATTTTTTATTGTACCTGTATGACTCACGTTTTTTTGGGAAAAAACAATGATGATGTCATTGCCATTTCCGGTCCAGGTGTTTGTTTAATGTAAACAAATACATGATTTATTACCCTTTTCTTGGAATTTTGTCTGGCTTTTAAACAAGTTTCTACCTACAGCTGGGTATCCCCAACTTGTAGAGAAAATATATTTTCATTTCAGCGCTATTAAACATATTTTATTTTAAATTTAAGCTGTAAGGATTGTATTAATATTAATTATTTTCACCGCAAGCACCATCTACAAAACCCGCTCAGCAGAAAACCTCTAACGAAACACCGTCAACGTCATCTACATTATGCTGACGGCAAAAAACTATGCACCTCTAATCATCAGGTTGTACAGAATAGACAAAATAAAATACTCTGGAGGTCCGACTTATCCCAATTTATAAAATGCTGAGGTTACAATCTTACACACACACACACTAAAGTTACTATGGAGAATTTTTAAGGCCTGACATATCCCAAAAAAACTGCTGATGTAGCAATCTCACAATACTCAAGTTACTATTGAAAATTTTATATAATTCCTTAAAAAATGCTTAGTGTATTTTTTTACATATAAAAAGGGTACAGCCGGTGCATGTACATCAGTTGGTATAGAAAAATGGAGTGGTAAGTAAATAAGATATAGACATGAAATTATCATAAATGTATTTATACTAATTTTTTTAGTATCAAAATTGAAGACGGATTTGTAATGTAAGTCATTTAAATTTATATAGAAATACCTTTCTAAAATAAAATGAAAATTATGTTTCAGCTTAAATGATCCAGCAATGTATGATGCGTAAGTTAATTTTCATATAAAATTGATATTGATCACATTTACATTTTATTTTAAACTACATAAATCAATTCTTCTTAGTAATAAGTAATCCAATTTTTTTTTTAAACTATTAAATATTTTTTATATTTTTTAGCATAAGCGATAGCAACGCCTCTCCGAGGGAAACGCCAATGTCACCAACAATTTCGTAAGTAATCCAATTTTTTTATTTTAAACTATTAAATATTTTTTATATTTTTTAGCATAAGCGATAGCAACGCCTCTCCGAGGGCAACGCCAATGTCACCAACAATTTCGTAAGTAATCCAATTTTTTTATTTTAAACTATTAAATATTTTTTATATTTTTTAGCATAAGCGATAGCAACGCCTCTCCGAGGG